TCTCTGAATACTTGTGCATTTTTTTTAAGTTCACATCACAGCTAGCTGGAGGTTCATGATACCACCCTGTGTATGGATGAATCATGCCTACACTCTTAATAGAATGATATTGGAAATATAACGTGGTGATTAGCCTGTATAGGTTATGGAAGTTGAGTCCGTTTAAAAATCCTTGGACTAGTCCCAGTGGTCACATAGTCAAACGAAAACAAGCATTGACGTTGTCAGAGCCTTGGCTTATTTTCTAACATGGAAGCAGGGCCATTGTCTCCATTCTCTGTGACATTGATTTTGGTCAAAAATATTCTTATCTGCAGTTAAAAAATATGCAAAAACTGGGCCAGTGATGTGACAAAGTTCCAGATCAGCAACTGCATTCCATCCAGCTCTCTCATGCGGACTGTTGACGGCTTATGTTTGTATTGTACCAATACCATGTCCAGAGTAAGCTTTGGGCAAAGAGATTTATAGAGTTATCTTTTTCAGTGAGAAGTAGTGTCTTTCACCATTTGTTGGTGAGAACACATTGGCGACCACACATGCATTGACTCTGGTAGAGATGCAGATGTTCTCTGAACATTGTATTTCCCCTCCCTAACCTTTTTATTCTTACAGTGTCCACATTGGATAGGTAAATAGCAACGTATCTCACCAAGGGCAAGACTGCTAAGAGATGATCATGATAGCATTTATTGAGTACATATGTGAGTCAGGTACTAACTGGGGAGGGTTACATCCATAGAACTAGTCTGTGCATCAATATATCAGAGGAAATTTTGTAAAGCAGAATGACAATTACTGCTCTTGCACACTCATTTTCTGCCTTTGATTTGTAGGTATGTATATTGATTTGCTTATTCATATCATACTCAGGAAGAAAGAAGGTTTTTGTTTTGTTTTGTTTTGTTTTTTTTGAGACAGAGTCTTACTGTGTTGCCGAGGCTAGAGTGCTGTGGCGTCAGCCTAGCTCACAGCAACCTCAAACTCCTGGGCTCAAGCGATCCTTCTGCCTCAGCCTCCTGAGTAGCTGGGACTACAGGCATGCGCCACCATGCCCGGCTAATTTTTTCTATATATTTTTAGTTGTCCAATTAATTTCTTTCTAATTTTAATAGAGATGGGGTCTCGCTCTTGCTCAGGGTGGTCTCGAACTCCTGAGCTCAAACAATCCGCCCGCCTCGGCCTCCCAGAGAGCTAGGATTACAGGCGTGAGCCACCGCGCCCAGCCAGAAAGAAGGTTTTTGAGTGAGATTGTGTTAGTTCACCTGAATATCATGTCATAATATAGAACATTCTTGCACATGGTAGAGCCTTGTATGATTACATGATGTAAGAATGAAGAAATGAAACACCGGCACAAGGCCTTTCTCCTGATGCTTTTATTGACATCAGACTGTCCTTAGTTTTAAAGGCATTCATGATTATTATAAGGCTGTTCTTCATGTGCAAGGTTTTGGCATCAGTTCCTTCCATGGTTGGGATTCTGCTAAATGTTGATCTAGGACATGTTTGTATCCAGGTTACTATAGTTAAAGGAGAAAAAGTGAGATTCTACATACGAGCTACTACATGTTTATAAACTGCCAGCCTCTTAGATTAAAGCTTAAGCAATATTCATGTAAAATATTTCTATTCCCTAAAACCCTAACCTGAAAATTTCTTTTCTTAAATACCTTCCTAATTTAATAATTTTAATACTAATTTAAAACCATTCCTCTAAAATGGTTTTCTGGCAATTTTGGCATTTGCAAGGTAGCTCAAGGATCTTACAGAATGCCTGTGCATTAAGTTGGTCAAAAAGAGTTTAATTAAAGGGTAAAGTTCCTGACGGAGTATTTCTTATATACATATATTGAAGGAGAAAATTTTCTTTGGAAAATTAAATTTATGTGAAAATTTCTCATTAATAGTTTATGTCACCTTGGGAAAATAATACACTCTGTTAATACCATTGCTGCTGTCATTTCTGAAGGGATGACATTCTAATTACTTTTTTTACTTGCTTTAACTTAATCTTATGCATTCTTTTTTTTTTTAAACTTTAAAAAAATAAATGTTTTGAGAATGGCTTGTATTCTTTGTTTGTGTGGTGCTGCAGTATTGATATAGCTTATGCAGCAAATTGACAAATCACAAATATCACCACAGTACGCAAGTTGTTTTCATTTGCAGAACTGTGCCAGATAAAAAGAAATATCGTATATGGGAGAAACATTTCAATTGTCCAAATAAGTAAGTCTTGACTCTCATTTCATCATAAAGCACCTATACTGACTTGGGATTAAATTAGTCATGCCTGCATTAATTTTTAGTATAAGTATCATGAGGAAAGTGACTAATAAAGTGACTCTCCCAACTTGCTAATAAAATTCAACTTTAATTTTCCATTAGATATCCCCTGGGAACTAAATCATTGCTGGAATTTGAATTAAAATCTGATCTTTCTTTGCCCACATGGTAGCACAGTGACTAATATATGCAACACACACACACACACACGCACACATGCACAAAAACTTAAGACACACTCAACCTATTTTGGTGGTGGTGATGGAAGACAGAATATTTAGTGGTATACATTGGCCGTTCTCCCCTCTCCCTCTTTTTCTTATCGTTACAAACCTAGTTGCTACAGTTTTCAACTCTAAAGTAAGATAAAGAAATAAAAACAGCATAAATATAATTTGAGGTGGTAATTATTTCATAGTAAAAAATGCTGACAGCATTCTTGATCACTTCTCTATAGCTTGTTTTGCAACCTATTGACAGATTTTGCTAAATACTACCCCCCAAATTATGGTTAAAATATTTCCACTAAAAGAACTACAGTAACTTTTATTTTGTGCATTTGTATATAGTTTTCTCTCTCTTTCTTATTCCACTCCTCCAACTGGAACAATTGAAGTTTGACCAGAATATTTGTTAACGAAATGTGGAAGAAAAGATATTTGTTAAAAATACTTTTGGTTATTTGTGAAAATGGGAGAAATTGGAACAGATCAAGATTAAATGGCAGTGGAAAAGTCAGGTTAGTTTGGTGAACAGAAAGCTGAAGTAAGGTTGATTTCCTGGCACTGCTTTCTTAGCAAAGAGAACAATTTTAATCAGTTACAAAAATATTTGTGATCCATATGTTCCACTCTGCTCATCCCCATATGCCCATATTCTCTTTTATCTCAGTGGATGATGACTTTATGATTCAGGCATGCAAGAATAATACCTCGCTGACTTTAGAGCTCAGAGCTATTTCAAAACGTGTCCTGGTAATTACGCACACACATATATCCAGGCTGTTCGCGCTTTGAGTTAGTTATGTGAACATCAGTTTGTTCTTTCTCTCTTCGTGGAAAGAATTATATCTTGCATCCTCCTACTGAGGCTGGAATAATGCATCTAAGACTTAGACTTGAAAACTGCATTGCCGTTCACCTGCTGGATTATATGCCACTGTACAAATATGAGGGTCAGAAAAAGGAGGCAAAAGAGTTGCGGTGATCCTTGATAACTTCATTCGACTTGGAAAAAGGAAAACAGAATCCAAAAAGCATTTGGTAATTCCATCCATCATTAACATTTATGCTAAAACATACTGGATAATGGGCTTGTTAGTTAAATAGATCCTAATTTTAAGATATGGTGACTTCTATTTAATATTGAGTATTAGTTATAGTCACCACGGTGAAACTGGTCAAAATTGAAAAAGTAGAATTACTGTTGATTAGCAGTCCATTTTTGTCCCAAATGCATGCTTGCTTATCTGTCAAAAGCCATGTGATTTCTAAGAATAAAAGAAACATAGTTTAAAGCCTAATTATCCATCCTAATAAAACATGAATAAATCCAGAAATTTTTGACTGTGTAAGTGATTGTATTTTCAACAGTTGTTTTCCTCTTGCACAACAAATGGCTTTGTAACCCAATATGTTGTTAATATAGCCACAGTAAAATCCTGTGAGGAACCAGCTGGGCTCATTTAAACTTGGGGGGAGGAAGTATCAAGAAGGAGAGGGAGAGAGAGTTTCTAACCTTTAGATTAAATAACTGGGGTGCGTTTAGTGTTTTCATAGATGGATATATGATGGAAGAGGTGTGCATGCTGTTGGATTTAGCGGGTATGCACCAGACTAGAGTTACAAGGAAAGGAAGGAAATACAGCTTGATTTTGGCAAATGTTATTAAGAGCCCGTCTCTGTGTTTGCATTCAAGCTGTCTTTACCGCTGCTCCTGTAGGAGTTGTGAGAAAAAGAAAGCGCACATTATAGCATGGATTGTTTTCAACAGGCTTGAAGTTTGCAAATCTGTTGAATCCCTCTGACAGTGTTTCTTTGCTGTCAAACAGAATGCCCAGCTGGCGGTGGCAATCCTGATGGGGAGGGTGGGGAATGGGTAGACTGTGCTCACCATGCAACAAGAATATTAGGAATTCTTCCTAAACTGTAAGTGGAGAGAAGAGAGCGCTCTCAGCCATGCTGTTATGAAAGTTTTCTTTTTCTTTTTATTTTATTTCCACTTTTATAGTGAACCTTTAAATATGTTTTAATAAGGTAACTTTTATAAAGAAATAAGTCATAGAAACAGAATTAAAGGGTGCCGTTCTGACTTGAACAGCCGGCTGTAGCTTTGGTTAAAAAAAGGAGGCAAGACTTTTGCTCATAGGTGATCTTGATTCTCATTGAGGCAAACACACAAGCTTGTTTTTTTTTTAAATACAAAGTGCGAGATTTCACTAAAAAAGGTTAAAATTGAAGTGAGTAATCTTTGGTGCATAATGCAATTGTTAATTTTAGCTCCTTGCGTGGGTGCCGTTCTGACTTGAACAGCCGGCTGTAGCCTTCATTAGAGAAGAAGCAGGCAGCTTGAGACAGGTGGAGCTGGATCAAGCTGTGAACGTGATTTGCTGGAAGCTGGTCATTAGTGTTAGAAACCAGTCTTGTTGATTTTGTCCTTCGCCCTACCATGATCATTGCAATTATTATTATTTACTTTTCGTCTTTTTTCAGGTTGACGATGATGTGTCACACTGTGTAAGGGAATCGTATGGAGATGGGCATTCCGAACTGTTAATGGGGACATGGGACTCCAGTTGTCTCTGATCACTGGTGTGGATTTTCCTGCTGTAGAACGACAGAAGCCGCTAGTAAGTCGCCAAGACCTATAGCAGGAATTCTGCGTGAAAGGTAAAGGCCTTGTCTGGCTGTCATCTCATCCGTATTTTATTATTATTATTACATAAATGTGCTTGTTTACATAGAGCAGTTCACTGAATGTAACCATAGTAGACAGTCTGTATCAGAGACTCATTTTGGCTTGTAGTCTGGAAAATTAGAGCTCAATTTGTTCACTCCATTTTAAATCTGGTCACGATGTGTTTTTTACTGAAATGCTCTGAAAAATAAATTAGGACAACAGAAGTCCTCTCTCCTCCCCCTACTCCAATACATTGAGAAACAAGCTGTTTGCCACTGGGAAATGGAACTTTTTATTTTGTTAAGCACACATACCGAGTGCCACTGAAATATAAGGAATCTGTTAGAATGCACTGGATGAAATATCCTAATACCTCCCCAAACCTAAAAGTATTGCTCACTATTCACTTATAGACTCAAACTGCTGTCCTTTTGGAAAACTTTTCCTTTTGCATTCCCACAACCCTTTTGCCAAATAAGCCTGTGTATTTAAAAATATCATTAGATACCATCTGTTTTGTCATGGTAGATTTTAGCAAATTTGCAATAAAAATTGCTGTGATTTTGATTTTTCTCATGCTTCCTATTTCCAGTTGGAAATAAAGTTACAGAATTAGTAAATGGTAATTAAACACTTCCAAAGAAACATCAAAACACTGACTTGTCCAATAATAATTACCATTGTAAAGACTGGGAATGGGACAGTCATTGCTTGGGATGTTGGGAGAAAGAACTAATTTTCTAAGCTGCAGTATCATTTCCTCCTCCTCCTCTTCTTCTTCTACTTCTTCTGCTTCTGCTTCTTCTTCTCTTCCTCCTTCCCTTCCTTTTTCTTTCTTTCTTTTTTATCACAGCTTTAAAAAATGAGGAGAAAGTAAATGCTAAATTATTCATGAGCCTCATTTGACAGCACATCAGAAGGGGAAGTGACAGGGGTTTTATGGAGGGAGGGAGAAAAAAAATAATAACAGGCTTTAACTTGAAAAGCCATTTCCAGTGTCTGTAGAGTAGTCATTGTGAGCCTGGAGTGGTGGAGTTCAGTTGTGATAGCTTCATTAGAGCTGCCTGCCAGACTTCCTTCCACAGGATCTCGCAGCACCAGCGACTGACAGGAGCCTGGGAGAGGGCTTACACTTTTAATAATGTAGCTGTCAGTCTGAAGCCTGGAATGTTGATCCTGAAAGGTTTATTGCTGAAATTAGATCCCATATTTATACTAAATTATTACCTCTTCAATTGATTTTTGCCCCTTGTAGAGTGTACTGTATTCCTTATACCTAGGGAAGTGTGTCTGTGTTTGAAATCTGCACATAATTTTTGAGTTATCTTAGAGATGCTGCAGAATATGAATATTACCTCTAGAGTCAGAAGTTGAAGGTCATCTGTTCAAGAGCTGGAGAAATATTGGGATTGGTGGTTGTGTGGGAGTTATGTGTCTCCACTTGAGATTGTTGATCCATTTTTTGGCAAAGTGTATTCACAAGTGTGTGTGCATGTGTGTAGAGGGGGTGTGCACGGGGTGACTGCATCTGCCTCTTGTGTATGCCTTGGGTACTTGCTTTCATCTTGTTCTATTCTCCTTTTGTGTAAAATTGGCGGGGGTGCCTGAGTTGCTCATTTGAATTTGAATACAAAAGGAGAAATGAAATATCTCAAGAATAATAGTGAATACTTCACCCTGCACTGACTTTATTTTCTACATCTTAACCTTCTAGGGCATAAAACCTTGTCGTTTTAATTTGTACCTGGGAGAATGTCTGAGCAAGGAGACCTGAATCAGGCGATAGTGGAGGAAGGAGGGACTGAGCAGGAGACGGCCACCCCAGAGAATGGCATCGTGAAATCGGAAAGTCTGGATGAAGAGGAGAAGCTGGAACTGCAGGTGAGCCGGAAGAGACCCTGATTCTCATTCCACTGTGTGCAGTTCTCTTCCTTTATTTCTAGATACTTGGAAGATTTGTTTACTTTTTTAATGAGTCTGGCTAGTTTTCATTAGGAAATTCACAATGCTAATTTCCCCCTTCTTCCATTGTTAGTCACTCCTGTTTCCCTGACTGAACCATGCTCTCAAATGCCTTTTGAAATGAAAAATATCTAAGGAAAGTATTTAATTACTGAATTTGCATACAGCAGCCCAGCGCCAATTTCCAGATCACTCAAGGTGAACGTGGAGGGCTTCTCCCAAGGCAGCTTTAGGCTAGCTGAGTTTTAAAAATGCATTTACTATTCTGTGGAAAGCTGAAGACCCAATTCATGGTAAACTAAGAAAAATCAAATCTTTTGACCTTCATGGGCATGCTAGGGTTCAACTCTTGGCAAACAAGCCTAAACCCTAGAATTCTCACCCAGAGACAGGGACACTTGGATAGGGGGGAAAATAAAGACTCCGAATGATTGAAGAAAGTGAGAAAGTGTTGTGATTAAATACACCTTGATTTACAAGAGAAGGAGATTTGGTAGAGGGAAAACAAACTGTACTTACAAATAGCTGGTTAAGTATGAATTTTCTTTGAACTAAATTACAACAGTGTTAACTCTTTATATACCCATAGTTAGCAAAGGCAGATAACCACATAATGGACAAAAGCCTTCAAGGCTGGCTTTTCTCCTCTCCGACAGTTGCTGCAAGAAGAGCTGAAAGTCAAAAGTTTTTAAAAGCTAGGGAAAGGAGGAATCCTCCCTACTGGTTATAATATCTGGCTGTTATTGCTTTCTCAACTGTAGCTGGTAGTGACACTCTTTCTTTCTTTCTATCAATGTCTCTTTCTCTTTCTTTCTCCCTCTCTCTTGATTGTTGGTTTATTGTTTGTTTTTTATTTTGTTTCTAACATACAGAGGCGGCTGGAGGCTCAGAACCAAGAGAGAAGAAAATCCAAGGTAGGATTCTTGAAATTCTAGGTAGACCTGATATCATGGATACAAACCGCATATTTCACATCAAAGTTGAAGTATTTGCCAACAACTCAGATGATTGCATGCAGATACTGTGGTACATTCTGGTTGTACTGATGCTGTCTGCTTTTAAAGGGATTGTGTTCACACAAATCTTTCTTTCTTGTTCTGTATGCTTTTTAATTAGAGGATTTGGGGTTCGAATGGCTGAAAATGTGTATGTTTGATCTTGTTTTTACACTTCGAGATTTTACAGTGCTTTACAAATCAAACACCCACTTGGTTTGTTTTTATTTTAAAGCAATTTGGAGTAGATGCTTTAGTCTCACTAATTGATTTCTGCCTCGAAGTAAACAGGTAATAGTGTTAACTATGCATTCCTCATCCTCACAAACATCTTCTCAGTCAAATCCCCTTCAAACTCAGTTTCAGTGGAAATTAACTTGATCACTTTTTTCTCCTGATACTTTCATGAAATAGCAGTAATTCATTCTTCATGTGTTCCCCAGTATGATGGGCACAGTTTGCTAAAAGTGTTTCTTAAACTCATCCGTTTACCTTCTGCTTCACTTCTGTTCTCATCAACACAGAGGTCTGATGCTTTGAGCCAGTGTAGCCAGTACCGAGCAGCAGACTTGAAGTTTGGTTTTAAAAATCTCATTTGGGAATGTTATGTGAACGTGGAGCTGATTTGACAGTCTGAGAATGTTTCCTGTTTGTTTTCTTTATGTTCCTCTCCTTCCTTTTTCTTTCCCCACTCTCAGTCAGGAGCAGGAAAAGGTAAACTGACGCGCAGTCTTGCTGTCTGTGAGGAATCTTCAGCCAGACCAGGAGGTGAAAGTCTTCAGGACCAGGTATACCCCCTGTCATTATCATTAATTGCATGAACGGGATCCACCTTTGTGTGCATGACTGTTGATTTGGTGTTTAAAAGTGTTTTGGGGGAGAAAAATATATTTAAGAAAATAAATCATTTTTTTTTGGCTTTATCCCCTGTTTATGAAACATTTTAAAATAGTTTAATGGTTTGTCACAGAGTATTACGTTTGCTTTTTTCCAGACCCTCTGAAAACTGCAAATGGAAAGGAATTCAAAAGAATTTAGATTAACAGTTAAATAAAAACTAAGCACAGTAGTGCTGAATTTCCTCAAAGGCTCTCTCTTGATAAGGCTGAACCAAATATAGTCCTAAGAATCCTGTCTCCTTCCTTACTGGAGATGTCTTACCTCTCAGCTCCCCAAAATGCACTTGCCTATAAGAAACACAACTGTTGGCTTGTACAAAACTTAAGATATAGTGAATAAGGTGCATTGAACTTTGGAGAAATACTTTTATGGCCTTTGGTGGAGATTTCTCAATACTGTAAAAATTGTCCAGAAATGAATCTGAGCTGATGGTGACTTTAAGTTAATATTATAAATATATCGCTGCTTATCCTTACCCATATTTCTGCTCCTTACAGCAAGACGATTAGGCTCTAAAAATTTAAATTCCACCCAAACTCTTCCGTGACAAAATGGGAAACTTCATATCATACTTATTTTTGTTTGCCTTTTAGGCATCACATTAGCTTTTATAAAAATAGCCTTGCTGCTGAAATTTCACTTATTTTATCAGAGGAAGAGAACAGTCAAGACAAAAGTAAAATGATTTATCTGAGCCCAGGGGAGGGAAAATTGATTAAAATATTATTTTTTGTTTGGTTTTGTTTTCCTTTTCTCTCTTGACTTTAGCTGAAATACTCTGAATTCCCCTTGTGGATACAGAGAGCATTGAGAGCACTTTCTTTAAAAGGACCAAAAATAAATCCCTTATAGATTTTGTCCTAAGAGTATTTTTTTCTAGCCTCATTTCCTTAACATGCCACTCGTGTCATAAGGCATGGACAGGCTATCTTCCAATAGCCATTACTATGTTTCATACACATGCTTTATTTTACTTGGGCTCTGAGAAATGTGTGGCTTTTCTTCAGCATTTTATTTGTGCTTCTATTTTTCATGGAGATTGAAAGGGGGAATAATGTGAATATCATGGCTTGTATTATTGAATGTTGATTGACGCCTTGTAATGTACTTGCACATGATATACGTTAGCTCTGCAGAATGACAGACCCTGGGAGAAATCATGCCCCAGGTGTCCCCCACTCCTAATGCTGAGCAAAGAAGGACATCCTCTATAGACTTAATCTGCTTGTTGTCCCATTTGACAAGGTACCAGGAGGAAATTTTTTAAGGGATCATCTGTATCATAGTGCCCATCCTGGACCTAAGCCTAGTTTCTCCATACGATTGGTGTAGAGAAATAAGGTGCAAACGGTGCTTTGTTCCTGCTGGTTCCAAGCTCAGACACCAAGACTAGCTTTGTAGGAGAGAATGAGAGCCTGCAAGCTTCTCTTTAGACTAGCTGAGGAGTGGTGGGCGCAGGGGGCTGATAGAAAATACCCAGACACACACATAAGCAAGTGGCCATGCTACTTTTTTAGAGAATAAAGAAGCAGACCTTTGAGTTTATATGCAATGCCTTCATTAGGTACCACCGGCACTTACAAAATGTGTGGACTGAATCCCAGAGAACACTGGCAGAAGTATAAAGTATATGGATTGTATTGCTTCCCCAATGTTTGTATATTCACAGTATTTGGAAAACTGCCTTCATTTTCCAGTGTGGGAAAAACTCTTGCTACCTGTATTACTTGATCTCAGACCCATACATGATGGTTCAGTCTGTCCTTAAGTTAAAGGAATTTTGCTTTTCTAATGTTATACTATTTACCTATCAGTGTATTACTGCAACTTGAATCACTCTTTTACTGTTGTTGGATATAAACTTATCCTGTACCAATGTATTTATTAACACTTGTATTTTATTATTGAGCATATCAATAAAAATATTAAAAAATAACAGATTGTTTTTTACCAACTCTATAGCACTTTTGTGTGTTCTTTCAACACCATAATGTATAGAAAAGATAGATTTTTTTCTGAGTATAGAATTTGTCAACACATAGCATCAGTTTGCACATTTTGTTTTTGTAGTGGATGTCCTGTAATTTCTGCTCTTGCATATGTAATATATTTCCAAGCCTCTATGAGTTTAGATTCAAACTTACAGAGGCTGGATGGTTCAATCAGTTTTGAAGAAGCAATGAGACCACTTTCATGACCCAGGACCCTCAGTTTCCACTCCTGATTAACTGGCGAATTGATTCTTCCCCACCCCCAGCCATATCTTCTGAGCCAGAAACGTTCCAGTGGTTTCCTTAGCAAGTAAAAGCAAATCATAACCCTAGAACCTGCCTCAACCTTTGCATGTTAAGATGTCTCTGTCTTAAACCATGTGATAAAAGACTCTGTAACCAAATCACACTGAGCTTTACATATTTTATATTTGTCCATCCCCAGGATAAACATGTGAAAGTCAGAAAACCCACTAAGACAAGTATTTATAATGACAGAATGTTTTATTTCATCCTCTATATTGTGTGTCTTTCCAAGTGTGGTGACTTTTTATTCTAGCAAGGAGCCCACAATAGAATCCCTCCCAAAAAAGAAACTTGGCCTTGGAGGACTTTTGTTTAATGCTTATTAGATTAGCCAGGTTTACCAAGAACCACTGAGAACCCTGAATTGGCCACAATTTGAGGAGGCAAAGCCATCAATTTAGTCACATGTAGTATGAGCATTAGTTTCATTTTCAGTGAGAGACATTATTAGTCATTAGGGATATTTTTTTTCTACATCATAAATTTTAATGTCACTAGTGGAAGAAAGCTTTCCCACCAAGTGATCTCTTACATAAGAATAAGTAGGCCTAATGTTGACTAATTTGTCATAGTTTTAATCATAGCATAGCTTTTTCATAAAACTAAAAAACATGATTTGGCTCATTCTTCTTCAAAACAGTGAACATATTATCAATCAAATCGCTGATATATGTGAGTTAATAAAAAACGATCAGTTTTCAGTGCAAAATAAATAAATATAAAAGTAGATCCAACCGCAGTACTATAAACGGTCTATCTTATGCCCAATGTTAGTTCAAGAGAATCTTATTTTGGAAAAGATTAATCAATACTAAAATAAAAATAATATTAAATATTTACATATTATTTATGGGAAATAATTCTACTTCCTACCTTTTCTAAAAGGCAATGCTTATTGTAATTATATAATGATTTATATTTTAAATAATTATGATTATAATCCATACCTAGGATTCCTGCAGTTATATAGTCTGATTTTTCATAACAGTAGAAATCACTGTTGACATGATTCTAAAATGGAGTTTTTATTGTAAGTTGGCTATCAGGGGTTTTCATTACGTCTGTTCTATCTGTAATTATGATTCGTGATATCTGTCTGTCTGTGTTTGTGCCAATTTCTCCTTATAAGGAGTTATAGAAAAGAATTTCAGAAGCCTTTTTTTTTTTCTTTTTAGACATGACAGTGGCTGTGATGTAAGCATGCTGACAAAGAAGTTTTTCCTAGGTGTTTAAAAATAAACCTGTAGAGAAAATACGAGTTGTGATCTACAGGAATTTAACTTGATTGTGATTAATATTCATGAGGCAAAGTTTTAGTGGGAGATGTTTCTTATGACCTCCCGTTGACTTCTGAAGTCCAAGTCACCTTAAAGGGCAATTAATTTTCTGACAGGTTTAATTTTTTACCATTTAAGAAAAAAAAAATCTGCACCTGGCTTTCATTTTCCGGTACTTAATAACCTTTATGCAAAATGGAAACCAGACAGAGATTATTAAATTGGGCCCTAAATTATTATATTTTTTCCCCAACAGGAATCAATTCATTTACAGCTTTCCAGTTTTTCCAGCCTGCAAGAGGAGGATAAATCTAGGAAAGATGACTCTGAAAGAGAAAAGGAAAAGGATAAAAACAAAGATAAAACCTCTGAAAAACCCAAGATCAGAATGTTATCAAAAGGTGAATGTGAAAATGTTTCCTTAACTTACTCAATTTGGGCACATACTTATTCACAGAGTACATTCTAGATTTCACATGCATAGTCCCCTCCCACCCAACCCTGCCTATAATTTCATATGCGTAACGTATGTATGTGTGTAAAAGATGTGAACTTGATTTTCTTTCTGTTTATGGTGTTATTTGTGTTGCTAAAGAGGTTATTTTCAGGATCACATATTTCTTTGGGTTCACATTTGAATCTTTTGTTTTCAATGACAAGCTTGTACAGAGGAGTAATATAAATCTGCTCTTAATTCAGGTTTATTAGACAGATTAACTTGGATTGATGAAGAGTAATGATACCGTGTTTTACATTTTAACTTTCATGCTTATCTTAAAAGACGATAGTGGATTAGCAATTCTCAGTCAATAAGTGATGTGGTCTCCAAAGCACAGATGTATATGCCAACGGAATAGATGATTAACATTTTATCTGGCACAGATGAATGTAGTCTGTGCACTAGTATAATGTCACATAATGTTCATTTAAAAAATAATACACTTCTACTGCAATAAATAGTTCTCTAAAAAAGTCTTTCTAAAATCTTCTCAAATCGCAAACCTACCAGACTATTCAAATTGTTACCATACATATCGTTGTACAAAACAAAACTAAGTTGAAAGGAAGAGTGCCATGAATAAATAGCCTTGCAGTATATTAAAAAAACTAAAAAGAAACAACTGAGAAAGAATAGGGCATCTGATCAGCTGAGGAATGACAGCCACCTCTAATATTATGTTCTATAACCACATATCTGTTTGTAATGGTTGTCTGTGCTGCTGAATATCTAAAACCCAAGGTGTATATGAGAGTATAGAAGTTCAGGTTCCTAAAACAGTTTTAGAAATTAAGCTTTAGCCAGCCTTAGGAGATTTAAAATACTGGGAATATTTAGTGCCCATCTGTGTTTTTACTGATCAATATTTAGATAGTCTCATAACAACTTTCATGTTTTGCCTCCTCTGTGTTAAGAGAAAAAGGTTCTCAAACTCTAGAGAGCTCTCTCTGTGGGTGGGAGTACCTGTCAGGTGGAGTTTGTGCCCTTGCTGATTTACAGTACAGAATGAACACATGATATTTGACTCCACCTCCCTCCCGCCCAAACTGTGCCCACTTCCCCTCCTATGACATTTGGGTCTTTCCACAGTTAGGATCTATTGGGTGTTTTCAATCCCCGAATCTAATTTTCATTCTGATGTTATACTGCCAGGTTGCTAGTTTTGAAACACATATTTTCATACCAATAGCTTCATCTAAAATTTACCCGAGCAGGAGGGAAAGATTGGGAAAACCTTTTCCACCCCACCTTCCCACCCTCACTCTTGACAACTTCATCCTGCTATTTGTTTCAGATTGCAGCCAAGAGTACACGGATTCTACAGGCATAGACTTACATGAGTTTCTGATTAACACATTAAAGAATAATTCCAGGTAAATTATTAAATAAGCCTCTTATTTTTAGAAGGATCAAATGGAATATTACAATCAAAGTTATTAATCCAACACTTCTAAGAAGGCTGTGGTAAAATGCAGATACCTTCCCCGATGTCTTAAACCATCTCCTGTATTGTCTCTTCTCTGCTAATGGTTTGCATGTTTACTGTTTATACAAAGTGTTAATACTGGGTAGTTACCCAATGAATAAATTATGGTTTAACAGTCTGATTTCCTGATCACAAAGAGATACTAAGGGGAAAAATAGAGAATGAAAATTATTGATGTCAAATAAGCCAATTATGTTTCAATGCAGTTATATATTCATCTATAGTCAATACTTGGGCTTAGCTTTGCTCCAGTTTTATATTAATTTAAAATATGCTATTATTTGAGGTGTTTTGTGGTCCTAATACTTTGCATTCCATAATTAACATTAAGACTATAAAATATATTACAAAATACTTAACAAATGAGATAAGAAATAATCTTAAGTAAAATGAAATAATAATATGCCAATGTTCAATCTATTCCAGAGAAGAATTAGATATAGGTTGGTAGCAACATATGTTTAATTTTTTCCATACATTTAATGAACTATTTAGGTCTTTGGGAATATAAAATACATAAAAGCTCTTCACTTTAACATTTATTTTGCAGGGACAGGATGATACTCTTGAAAATGGAGCAGGAAATTATTGATTTCATTGGTGACAACAAGTATGTTAAATTGTAATGCTGGTTAGTTTTATGATGTGTCTTAGTTTGGTATTTGGGCTAAATTATCCATTCTGGAAAGATGTAGGGATAGATAAAACATTGTTTAATGTGTTTCTTGATTTGTTAAATGGAGATGTTATTGGAGTTCAGAGATATATGCTGATGGGAGTTGTTGCTTGAACCATGTGTGCGCCTGCTTGTTAAATTCCTGACAAAATGGCTATAAACAGGGGGCTACTGATTAGCATAGAGTAGCTGTAATGAGAAGCGACCCTTTTCATTTTTATTATAGTTTTTTAATGGGCTCCAGCTGGCTGCAGTCAGTTATGCCTGGAAATAATTGTGCTGCTTTCAGTGTAAACCGTGTAATGACACATTTCCAGATAGGCATCTCCAATCACGCATTATGTCATCTCATTTGTCCTGTCCCTGGCTCCGTTGATAAGGTATCATGGACTAAAATAGAGTACTTTCCAACAGACATTAAGTTCTTTTTGGCAAGAGAAATGCACAACTATGAAACAAAGATACTTATTGTAGCTTAATCAATAAATCTATAAGTGGAAAATTCGTCTGGAAATGAGGACATTAAGTGATGCCAGAAATGAAATAGGCTTAGTGGTTTGGATGAAAGAGAAATAGTTATGTGCGTGTACCTGTAAAATGTACTACGGGCAAGAAATGAAAGTGCTGATTCCACTTTTCCTTATATTCTGTTCCAGTAATCATTACAAAAAGTTCCCTCAGATGTCATCATATCAGAGGATGCTTGTCCATAGGGTGGCAGCTTACTTTGGATTGGATCACAATGTGGATCAAACAGGAAAATCTGTTATCATCAACAAGACCAGCAGCACCAGAATGTAAGTCCCATCACTGTACATATTTAGCATTTTCTTTTTCTCCTATGGATTCATTTATAAGAGCACAGTAAAAAAATTCAAAGTACTTGACATTTAAAATGTGCAATGTTATTTATCTCTTGCTCTTATTAGCAGTAGTGTGGCATTTATCTGTAGAAGATTATCTGAGAACCAGGAAAGTTGATAAAATTCAGGCAATAAAGTGGATTTATTCCCTGATCTTTTACATAGCTCCTGAAACAGAATTTTCTTTCTTCCATCCATATTCTATGAAGTTACATACAAAACCACGGGAAACTTTGTGTCAAATATAACTTGAAAACAACAGATATTTTTAAACAACCATGACATATACAGGATAATTGTTTTTCCCTTTCTTTTTTTTTTTTTTTGGTTTTTAGACATCAATCTTATTGTGATTTCTAGAGTAATAAAAAGCTCTGAACCTGGAGACAGAAATCCTGCCTCTAAAACTCAGTTCCCCTTATTGTGTGGATAGTTGTGTGAGTAGGAACAAGTCATTTAAAATCTGCCATCTCGGTTTTTCCACCTGTAAAATGAGTTTTGAGCTAGATGATATATCTAAGACGTAGCTCTAAAATGAGTATGACAATTTGTTTTTCCTTTTTAAAATAATTACTTTTATCTTAATACCTTTTCATGTCCCATTGAGTCAATAAAAGCATAATAAGATGAGTAGTCATTTGCTTTGAAACTTGAAGCTGTCTCTCTTGAACCCATGTATCTTTTGAGCACAGTGCAAGCCAGTTCTATAGCAAAAGGCACATTAAACTCAAAAACCGTCCCCAAGTAAAGCATCCGCTTTTATAATTTTCTTTTCCATGGTGTCCTTGATATGGAATGCTGTTAGTGAAGGGAGCTTTTGTGTCAAGCAGAGTATTATGGTTAAAATATTTTTTATTTTCTGCTCCCCAGGGGTTGGGACAAGTGGGGATGGAGATCAGGCTCTTTCTCTACTCAAGGATCAGTCTGTGCTCAGCAGAGGCAGAGTGAAAGTCATAGTGAAGAGAGCACAAACTGGGGTATCTGGGACCAAGCTTTGCTATTATCTTAGGGACAATGAGCACTCCACTTCTATGGGCTTCAAATTACTTGTATATCTGCAGGACAGTTTGAAGTGAATAATGTTTAAGGGCCCTTGAAGCTTTGGAATTATTGGGTCCTGTGGTTGCGTTCTATTGTGCTGGCAAAACACATTTTAAAAAAATTTATCAGCTTTCCACTTTATCTGATTGTTGACACATGTGCCTCATATTTTGAGCACTAGTGGGAATTAAAGGTCACTATTCTTTAATGCTTTACATCTTCCGTCTCCATCAACTACCTCTTGTTGTTGTTGTTATTGTTGTGTTGTTGTTTGTTATTCTCCATTCTGATTTTCCTTATGGCTTTCAGATACCATAATGCAGGGCATGCTGATTGCAAAATAGCGAAGCCGTTGACTACCTCCTTTTAATTTTTTCTTCCTCTCTGTAAGGCCATAGCAAATATGGAAAAGCCTATAGATCAAGTAGATCAAATTTGATACAGTTTCAACTGTTGGATAGATTTATTTTTAATTCATGCTGGTTTTGCAACCACATTGTCATGAATACCAGTACATGTATTTGAGAACTGTTTCCTTGGAGAATGGCTTTTGAGAAAATTAAGCATTATATGAAGACTCTTGGTAAACTTCGAGTGATGGAGGTAAACTTGCTCTGGCCAATATTGTAGCTGCATATGGCTATTTACATTTAATTTACGTTAATTCAGTTTAAATAAAATTTAAACTCTAAAATTCAGTTCCTCCATCAGGATAGCCACATTTCAAGTGCCTATGTTGGACAGAGCATATATATAGAATATTTCCATGAGTTTTGAACATTCTGAATCCTTATGTTTCCTGCAAGTTCCCAAATATCACTACAGAATATAATTTGCCCTATAAAACTTTTATTTCCTGGATAATAGGCATGTTATTAGTAGACTTCTTTTAGTAGACTTCTTTACTTCCAGAAAGGCACTAGCTTTTGTTTTTTAATAGCCATTTAAAAATAGACCCCACATGTTTGTGCCTTCAGGAAGAGTGAACAGTGAATGTGTACAGAGAATGCCTCTCGAAGGTGTGGTTGCTACCACAGGATTGCGAGGGCCCAGTCTCTGCCTAGCTCCTTGCTCTTGCACATACCCTTTAGCCACCCCTCCATGAGTCAAATCGTGCCTAAGCAAAGAAGTCTAATGACTCTAAGTCATGAACTTTCAAGGCATTTCCTGAAGAGCTGAGCTTAACAATGTTCAATCCACAGCTGTCAAGTCCTACTGTTCTGTTCCAAGCACATTTCTGACCATTCTCTATTTGAGTGATTCTTGGGGGTGGGAAGAGTGCTGGCGGTTCAGGGACAATTGATGTCTTAGGACAAAAAAAAAGGAAGACAAAGTAAATGTCCTTTTGCAAATAGTATTAAATCGCAATTTTCAGGATCTGAATCCTTGTTGGCAGTTTTAGTAAAAAGAAATGCTGTTTTGTGGAAAATTATATGTTTGATTTTAAAAGTCTGTTGCCATGCTCTTTGGAGATGAAGTTCAAAATGGAGCATTCTATTCAGAATATTCTATTCAAGTTCTAGATGTCTCAATTTCTTTGGTTTTGTGAAAATTTCAAGTGTTGTCTTATCAGGGAAATTGACATGTGATGGTCAGGGGAACCATACTAATTTAGAAATATTACTGGATTGATTGTTTCCATGTATTTAAAGGAAGGGGACTGAGATGGGGGCACCTCAGATGGCTCCCTGAGAGCTGCACGTGTGGGGCGTACCTTTCCAATGTGTACAGTTTTATGAAATACATCTCTAAATGGCACTGTAACTTGGAAGAAATGATGAAACGTGTGGATGGAGAATGCAGAAAAATGTGCATTGAGGATATAAAACTGAACCGAAAGGTTCAGGGAGAGAAAAAAACACTTTTATATTGATTTTTAATTTTTCTTCTTCACTGACACTTCAGTGCTCCTCTGACATGGATGCATAAATCACTGTAGCGATATTAGCTACCTCTTGGCTAGAATTTGTTTCCCAAAATCCTGCATTTCTGCATGAAAGGCAGTTTAAGTGTTCATAATTACAGAATGTGACTTGAGAATGTTAAGTTTTGGATGGCAAAGGAATAATTTCACATGAAATTAAAAATGTTTAGGTCATAACAACATCCTCTGTGAGGATTATATATAGATGCGTATGTACTAACCTCTAGTATTTTCTGTAATAGCCTCAGATATAATCCATCTGCCCTATCATGATAGAAAGAACTTGTCTCAGGATATACTTCTCAGTTAGTTAAATGACATCATCTCTTACTTATAATAGCATTACCTACTGTTTATTCATTGCACTGAGTTCTTTATCTCTTGTTTCATGCTATTATTACATTTAATCCTAAAATATATATCGAACATAAATAATTAGAGCCTCCTTCATGAGAAGAAGAAAATGAGGCACAAACTGAAGTTCAGTTTGGGGCTTACAGAGAAGCAATGATTAACATGACTGGGATCTAAACCAATCTGTCTAATGCCAAGAAAAATTTTCTTAAATAATCTAATTCTCTTAAACCAAAAGCATCCAGAAAATATTGAGCAAAGTCCTTAAAAAGAGTCCTTGGATTGGTTGGTAATTCCAATTCTTTTAAGCCCTTTGTTGTCACATAAGAAACAGTGATTGAAGGACAAGATATTTTTAAACTTTAACTCAGCGATATCATTAAGTAATAGAACCTTCCTAGAATTTAATAGTTCTTGCTACATTTTCTGTGCTTATTGATGCCGCTAGATGTGTTTCTTTTGGAGAGTACATCCATTAAATTTAAGCCGTACTTTACTCCATTTCACTCCCTTTTTTCTAAGAATAAAAAAGCCATATTTATTCATAATGTTAGTGCAGAAGATGAACCTATTCATCGTGTTATTACAAAATTACTGCCACAATCAACCCAATTGTCCAATTCAATGGCTTCATGCCATGTCCACAAGAACCATCAAATACCACAAGAAACAATAAGGCAAGACGGAATGGTAGTTGAAGTAAAGTCAGAGGCCTCACTTTAATACATCTGAGGATTCTGGGCACTTGTGAATTACCTGATGAGAGCAGAGATATCATGTTTTTGATGTCCTGTAATATACACAGACAAAACTTTCCTGATGTTAGAAATGTATTTCCAGCAACTGCAAGTCACCAACCAATCTATATCCGGCATCCAGACTTCAGTCTCTGGGGTTACACAAAAACTATATAATAAGATTTCTGTCCTCACAGGTCTTACACTCTGCTTATAGAGATTGGTTGAATGACTTAAGAATCTCGCTCGTCTTAAAACCTGAAACATTTGATGAAAATCTTTGTGGACCCATAGTAGGCACATAACAACTGCCTAGGGAATGGCTTTATGATTAATATGCAGCATAGCATATAAAGGAGATTCAGCGGGAACCACTGGCCCACCCATTTCATGGCTCACATAGGCATTTAGGAAGACTTTGATGAAAGCTAAGCCTTAACAAATAGAGTGAGGAGGGGGATACACTGCAATCTGGGGTACTGGGTATAAATGAATTTATGATGATAATCTCTACATTTATTGAGCATTTACTAATAGCTGGGAATTTTGCTGATATGGTTCCATTTAGTTCTCGCTACCATCTAATGAAGAGGATGTTTTAAAATCATTTTCCAACCTTACTGAGGGAGAATAAGTGAATTGCCCAAAGTCACATTGCTATGAAGTGAGATGAGGATTCTAATCCTGATCATTTGCCCTCAAATCGAGGAGACTTTATAATGTTGTTACGCTGGCGAGAGGCAAATGTGGAGAGATGATATTGTCAGCACCAGTGGGAAGCTATGTAGGATTGGAGGGGGCCTTTAAGGCAGGCAGCCCCTAAAACACAAGGATTGATGTATGTAACATGATACTTTAGAAAGGTTAATCTGGTACTG